CCTCCTGACCAAAGGCCTTGTTGCCGGTTGTAGTTTATCGTCATACCCAGGACTTATGTGTTGTTTATTTGGCTCGTTTAATTTTACGATATGTCAACACTTGTTGAGTTTTTAATGTAGATTTTTTTATGGGGCCCTCAGTGAAGATTGAACTCGCTACTTAGTAATAGTACACGATTGCATTTTTTTTTTTTTTTTTTTTATTACAAGCAACTTAGGATTTTTTGACAGTACTTGGGTTTCTTAATTTGTGCACAAGAATTACCAACTCAAGTGGCTTAAATTTTTTCATGCTGGAGTTTTAAATAGAAAAGAAAGATATTTCAATGTAAATGAACTCGTTGAATGGGTAGACATCTTGAATAATATATCTAGTAACTCTTTCTTTAATGTTAAGTTCATTTCTTTTCTTTCTTTCTTTTTTAGTTCCTTTAGTCACACTGCTGTCAGTAGTGGAGTTACTGAAGATTTAGTCAAGTTTGAGTACAGTTGCGTCGAAACGAGTTATAAAAATTGGCATCGTACTAAGCGAATAAGTTATTAATAACTCTTTTTTTTTAATGTTACATTTTCTTTTAATGTATTCTTTAATTTACTTACTAGCGTACCTGCGCCATGAAAATTTGTTATCCATTCTCTGTTTTGATTACGTTAATGGTCCCCTTCTAAAACGAGATGGCTTGTAATCTCCGCCTGAACACTGAAATTTTATTCACTAATTATTTTTTCTCTCTTAATAGGAGTAGATAGGTTCGCCTATCATCCGGTTCACACTTCTCCCTGTTCTTTTGAACAGGAGTAGAGGTTTATTCCTTGTTCCCTTTTTAGGAGTAGGTTCCAGGTTCCTCTTAAAATCTATTCATTCGCTTGTGTTTGCCCAATTAAAACAATCTTGACCTATTTATATCTAGAGTTTTTATTTTTCCTACACAGCCCCGTGAAGTTCACTTCTTGCCTTTTCTTACGCTCGTACAACACTACACAGTAACACTCTACATTGAGTGGCTCTTGGGCTTTGTATTGTCTGAACATGAGTAAAAAATAGCGTAAACTGTAGTTCAACTGACGAGAATCTATTTCGATTTATTGAATAAAAATAAATCGTTCTAGATTTGTGTTTCCTATCAACAAAATTGTCTGTAAATGTTGAACGAGAACTAATTTTGCCTAAATGCAGATAAATATTTTATTTGTATAGATTATTAAAACGACTAAAGGAAGTAATCAGTCATAAATTTACTAACTTAAATTGATTTCCCTTCTTCTCACTACAGATGGGACAGGAAATATATAAATAAATACACATTGTTAATTATTATATGGTTTTAATTTATTTTATTTTTATTTCTTCTTTTTTGAGTTGCTTAAGTTACACTGACATCAGCAGTAGAAATGCTTCAGATTTAGTTCAATCTGAATACAGTTGCTTACGAAAAATTGTGCAACTGCAAACAAGACTAACATTGCAAACCCTTACCCCATGCCAAGGCGTTTGCATGTATGTTTTTGCGTGTTTTTGTGTATATATATTTTTGCATGTCATTTTTTTCTCTCCTCCGCTTATTAGATAGTTTCACCTACCGTCCGTTTCATACTCCTCCCCCGGTCTTTCTAACAGCAGAGGTTTATCCCATGTTTGCAGTTTAGGATTGTGTTTCCGGTTCCTTCTAAAGTTTGCTTCAGCTCTGTACTTCTAACGTCGATGCCTAAACCCTGAAATGTTATTCACTATTTATTTCATTTATTCTCTCCTTGACTAATAGAAGTAGATGGGTTCGCCTATCGTCCGGTTCACGCTCTTCCTCTGTTTTTAAACAGTAGAAATTCATTGCTTGTTTCCTGGTTAGGACTGAGTTTCTGTTTCCTTCTAAAGTCTGTTCATTCGCTTGTGTTTTCCCAACTGCAACAATCTTGATAGTTAACGCTTGTCCTTTCCTACGCTAATATAAGTCCACACAGTAACCCTCTACATTGAGTGGCTCTTGGGCCTTGTATTTATAGTGATCATTAGTAAAAAAAATGTGTGTATGTATATCCCTGGACAGTACAATCTTAATTCCATCTTCATTTCCTATTACCGACACTTTCATTTATATCACACACCTCATCCAGATTAACATCAGCACTCAACCTTGAGCGGACCCCAAGCTTTCGATTGGTTGAATTTTTGTATAAAAATCACATTGAAACAGTTATCAAAAGGAAGATATTAAAATGTATTTCCCGAATATTGCTACCGTCACAGCTAGAGCGATTCGTCTTGGTTTGTTTTGTTTTACGGCATATCAATCGCAATGGGTTATTTAATGCCGACAAAGTGTTTATTTCTGGTAATATTTTTTTCTTCAAAAATCTATAGCTGGTAATATATATATATGTATATATATATATATATATATGTGTGTGTGTGTGTGTGTGTGTGTGTGTGTGTGTGTGTGTGTGTGTGTATAAAATATATATATATATATATATATATATATATATATATATATATATATATGCATATGTATAGACACAACACCACCCATATACATACATATGTCAAATCCGAAACTGTCCACATGGTTATATATGTATGACGGGCAAGCAAGTGTGTATGTGTATCTGCGTACCTCATCTTAGCACGATGACATCACGACAACGATTCCCCCAACTCCCATACTAACACCAATACACGCAATCTACATAAACCCAAATTTTAAAAAAATTAATCAGTTTGTCTGACGATCGCAAAAGCGTGAAACCCAGGATCACAAACTCAAATCAATCCAACCAAATATATATATATATATATATATATATATATATATATATATATATATATATATATATAATAAAAGGCTTAAACACTAATATTCCATGGTCATAATTTATTCCATTGGAATCGTAAATACGATCCAATTCATCAGACCTACAAATTCAAAAAGAAAACAGGAAAAAGAGAAAAAAAACAACTCCGGAAATAAAAACAGAATTTAGAGAGAGTGTAAGTATGAGGGGTAACATACTAGAGAAGGAGGGAGATTAAACCTTAACAGAGAGAATTTTAGGAGAGGTGAGTGGAAGGGGTTTAAGTAAGAGAAATATGAATGTTGTCGGATGTCTAATGCATTGAGTTCTACCTGGATTCTATCCTCTTGGAATTTTTATTTAAAAATATACATGTATGGGATGGGTATTTATATATTTTGCATATGTATCTATATTTACCACTAATATTATATATATATATATATATATATATATATATATATATATATATATATATATATATATATATATATAGAGCTGGTAATATCTTTTGTTTTTCAAAAATGTATTACTGGTAATAATGTATTCTGTAAATAATTTTTTGAAAACTATTCCTGGTATTAAAACATATATTTATATTTTCATAGTGTTTTAACCCCAGTTTGGCAATTACCTATTTGCTTATAACTGAGACCCTAACAGGTGCTACGACTTTGGGTCAGGGTGGACCTGGGAACACCAGCAATTAAGAGGTGAGTTCCACGCTTCTTAAAACCTTCTGTTCAGTGGCCTTGCTGTCGGACGTAATGTATCGTCTTAGCCAGGACGCGGGTGTACTTTATCGTCATACCCAGGACGGCGACTCGTCTTGTTTTTAAAGCACTTTGATTTAATTAAATAACATTCTAAATTAACAAGATTAATTGAACAACTTTGTAAAATAATATGAATTAATTAAACAACTTATATATTAATTTTATATATTAATTCTATATCTCTCTCATGTATATATATATATATATTAATATTATATATATATATATATATATATATATATATATATATATATATATATATATATATATATATATATATATTCAGTTATGTGCCATGCGTAATACACGTTTAGGCCATGATGTATCTTTCGTTACATGACTACCGCAGTAGGTGGCCATTTCTTCCTGCAGTAGACCAGTTGCCATCCAAGGCTACAGAACTAAGTCTGTCCTGTTATTTACCTATAGCTGGAGGGAGAAGAAGAGGATTCATACTTTTCCGTAGTAAGTAAGTGAATGTAATGGATTCATACTGGAATTCCAATTCCTCTCTCCGATTTTTCAATCTGAGCCGCTATCCATTACACCACCGTGCCTCCTATATAAATATAATAATTATAATTAATATACATTAATTTATATATATATATATATATATATATATATATATATATATATATATATATATATATATAATGTCATTCATATAAATATATACACTTATATAAAAATCTACGCACATACAGTATTACATATACACAAATCCATGGAAAGCAAGGAATTTTCCTTTGATTTAAACGAACATTGCCGAAACTGATTTTTCTTTCCTGACTGCCACCCGCTTCCCAATCAGTTGAAGATGCTAACTTCAGTCTAAACACTCCAGTCTCCCCTAACTTACCTCATCACAACGAGTCCATGCCGTGCACATTCATCGACGTCAGACAACGTCAGAAGTTTTCGAATAAGCAAAAGCCAGGTTATTTTTGTAGACCAGATTAGAGAATAGATGGAATGATAGACAGACGGACAGACGAACTAGCAGGCTGACTGATAGACAGATAAACGAACAGACAATCAGGTTTAGCGAAGAAATAAATGTAAACGGAATCTGACAGATAAATTGGTTAGGGCGAAAGTTTAGGAGACGTACAGACATACAATTGAATAAATAATGTTAGAGAGATAGGATTGCAAGGTGGCCAAATAGGACAACGGTGATTCCAGCTTGGTTGGAATTCTTTAAAGAAAATTCTGTGTCAGATTTCTCACATTTAATCCCAAGTAAGTCTTAGTCTCTATAATTCAATACCAAACTTTGGCAGCAACACTTTCTCGACGCTTTACTAAATCTCTGGTACTTCCAGAAATCATTTATTAGTATAAAAAAGAAGCTACAACAGACCTATCACCAAATTTCCCCATTAAACTAACGGTGTACAATTAAGATTTACTCCCTCATATCTGGAAGCTGACAACCATATCACGTTGAAACATTGTTTCTCGGACGAACACCGAAGTTAAGCAACGTCGAACCTGGTCAGTACCTAGATGGGTGATACCGTGGGAATACCAGGTGCTCTACGCTTAGATGTGCGGGTAGTGTAATGGATAACGGCTCGAAATTTGAAGTCGGAGATTCTAATTCTAGTCAGGTTCGTTTTGTTTGGGTAAGGTATGAGTTTATATCTTCTCACCCCCAGTTACGGGTTAATTATTAAAAGTTTTATCAACTCAATATTATCTCCCAAAAATCTTACAATTTATTTATTTTTTTTCAAATAACCCGCAAAAAAGATGATGAGCTGTAATACACACACACACACATATATATATATATATATATATATATATATATATATATATATATATATATCTTTCAAACATGTTTCGTTGAATATGACAGATAAGGATAATTTCATGAATTTTAAAGTTTTTCTAATATTATTACATATTTCCATTTGGTTGGAGTAAGAGAATTTTAAAATTGTCCGTAGTGTCTAATTACAATACCTCATCTCAATATATATATACATATATATATATATATATATATATATATATATATATATATATATATATATATATATTCGGAGAGTCGAGTTCGAATTCAGTCGAAACCATTTCATTCACTTACGTGCTAATACACTTGGGAAATGTATTAATTCTCTTCTTCTCCCTCCAGCTATGGGTAAATATCAGGACAGACTGGGTTCTATAGCATTGGATGGTAATGGTCTAGGAGATGGACAATTGTGAATTCATAACCTGCGGAGAGTCGTTTGGGGTCCTTGTGGCACGTATTCAGCCCTTCAAAAAGTGTGGTTGGTTCACCACTATAATCAAATCATATGTGCTGGTGTCTGGGCTGTCGGTTCCTAGGAACTGAGCTGCTTGACCCTCATACGTCGAATACGACAGGAGAGTCCACTATATATATATATATATATATATATATATATATATATATATATATATATATATGTGTGTGTGTGTGTGTGTGTGTGTGTGTGTGTGTGTGCGTGTGTCTGTGTGTCTGTGGAAGATATATATGCGTGTTATATATATATATATATATATATATATATTTCAAGCTGTGGTGAATATGACGTGAAAAGTAGAACAGACCAATTAAATCTTCAATGTGTTTAATGGTAAGATTCTCTTTTTTTTTTTTAAAAAAATGGAACCTATTAAAATACGTATAACATTTAATGACATTTTACATTTCTGTCAATTTCCGGCCAGCTCTCTTATATTAAAACTATTGTTTAAAAAAAATTTCGTAACTGCAACGGACAAATTTTAAATTTTAAAATTACTATAATAAACGGCGCCTACCTTGATGAATTTCATCTCAACATCAAGAAACTGATTAGACAACTGGAAAAAATCACTATAAAAATAAGTAGACACAGTATGTCTATATATGCTGTAATGGTTAACAAGCTTGTGTCGCAAGATCAATTACGACTGAATCGTGAGTTCGATCCACACTGGTTGCCCCATACATTTGACCTTGTGCCACATCTAAGCTACGCTTAGAAAATCACAACAATGATAAAACAATATTATTAAATAAAACATGTCTGGATGAAGATATGCTGCAATATATATATATATATATATATATATATATATATATATATATATATATATATATATGAGAGAGAGAGAGAGATGGATAGTATGAATAGTTGAAAGAAAGACAAGGGTAAAAAGTGACATGAGCACAGGAAGTAAGCATGACGTGACGAGGACAATTCTTGAGTGGGGTGTGAATATTTCTCTCTTGGGGATGTATAACATTCACGATCAAGTGAAATGAAATCGATCCCTTAAGGAAATCTAACACACGCTAACAACACCAACAAACAAACTATTTATCCCCCTGACTCACAAGGAGGAAAAGAAAAAATCCCATTCAGTAAGACAGAAACCTAAGCCCACTCTTGATTCAACGGCTCGTTCATGATGGTGCGTACCTTACGTCACATTTTGACTGGCAAGAAACATGACTGATACAAACGCGCCCCCTGCCGGCGAGCGAAAATGGCACTGTAACCTAACCCTGACCCGACTTATAAAACAAAGAAGTCATTGTTTGACAGCCTCCACTAAAGACAAGCTCTTATGACAAACTGAGATACGACTAGGCGATATATTTTTTTTTTAATCGGGATCACCACAAGCAAGGCAGTAATATCGCTAAAACACAAGGGGTCACAGGATGTGTAAGAATTAGGAACAGAGAATAGACATCGATTGACACTGCATTTAATTTTTTGGCATATTAAAGTTGGCTGGAAAGCAAGGAGCCACAAGCGAGAAGTCCGAGAGAAAAAACTGTTAGAATAGAACTTACGGCTACATCTCTTGGCCAGCTCAACTGTAAATTGATGAGATATCGACACCAGTCTAGTGTTGCACATAAAATCAACAAGTCTTAGTATCATAGCGAAGAGCGATATTTATTTGTGAAAATACAAAATGCGGTAAAAGGCCAAAGATGAGGAATGGGGAACAGGACGGTCTTCTTCCGTCTTAACATTAAACTTAGCTAGCCACAATCACTGACCCAAACATACTACACTATTCCTTAAACCTAAACAACACACTCTTACTTACTATTCTTACTATATTCATCATAATACCTCTATGTCTCTATGAATGTCCTAACTAGCCTCCATATATACAATTCAATGCCTGTCGGGCGAGGGGAATAAAACAATAATTTAATAATCTAAACTCCAATGTGCATTTACCATATGAAAAATCTATTTACAAGAATCCAAACAAAATAATATTAGTAATACCGCCTTCCTCCATCCTTAGTGAAGAACTCATTCGAACAATTACCATGAAAGTATTTATAGAAAAGACAGAGAGAGGCAACCTTAATGTGGTGGGAAAGTCACTGGAGCTGAGCCACCAGATGAGGACCAATAATATTGCAGATTCTTCTTTGGATCTTATCAAGGAGGTCAAGGTAAATAGCAGGGGCACCGGACCATATGTGGCAGCAATATTCTAAGCGTGGACAAATGGTAGACTTACAGATATATAAAATAGATTCTGGAGAGAAAAAGAGTCTAGCCCGAAACAGGGAACCGATTTTCTTATCAGCTGACCTAGCAATGGATTCAATATAATTTTTCCATTTCATATCAGCAAAGAACGTGAGCCAGAGAAGGCGCAATGTGTTACTTTCCTTTCAATTCGAAACCATCACTCAGATGTTAATCTTCTTTACCATCAACTATATCAACAATAATCAGTCAGTCATTTATGTGCCATGCTTTCGATATATGACTGACGAGGCAGATTTTTCCCTCGGTAGGTTACCATTTCTTTCTGTGGTAGACTAGTTGCTATCCAAGGCTACAGAACTCGCTCTGTCCTACTATCTACCCAGAATATTAGCATGTAATGTAATGGATTCGACTGGAATTCGAACTCGGCTCTTCGATTCCTCAATCCGAGCCGCTATGCATTATTCCACTGCAAGAATAATAACGATTCAAATTCAGATTGCATAGTTATTTAGAAATATTTTATTCATCCAGTTCATTTCTTTGTTTTAGTAGGAATAATAAAAACAAGACTTTTAATAAATGATCACCAAAGCAAAAGAAGATATTGCCAATACTTCTGCTCAGTTTAAGCCTTGAGATTTATAAAATATGAAACCAGAAAGTTCCGGGCTGTACGTGAAATGATTTTATTGATTTTATTTGTTTAAATGCATTGATCCTTATGGGTTATTTATACTGAACTTTTATTTTCTTGGGAGCTTTGGTATTTTTTTTTTTTTACAAAAATGTATTGCTGGTAATTTTTTTACTATGCTGTTGTTCCCAGGTACACCATAACCTGGGGTGGTAGCACCTGTTAGGGACCCAGCTATGGACAAATAGAGAAACCCCAAACTGGGATCCAAACACTGGGAAAGTATAAAAATACATTTGTATAGTAAAGAATTACCAGTAATACATTCGTACAGTAAAAAAATACCCGCAATACATTTTGCATAGTAAAAACATTACCAGCAATACATTTTGCATAGTAAAAAATACCAGCAATAAATTTTCAAAGTCAAAAAATACCAGAAAAATTATACTGCTAGTAATTTTTTTTTATTGCTAGTACATTCTTTACTATGCAAATGTATTGCTGGTAATTTTTTGATATACAAATGTATTTCTCGTAATTTTTTTTACTATGCAAATTTATTGCTGTTATTTTTATATGAAAATGTATTTTTATTCTTTCCTTGTATTTTGACCCCAGTTTGGGCTTTTAATATTTGCCAATCGCTGGGACCCTAACAGGTGCTACCACCCCAGGTCAAGGTGGACCTGACAGCAACAGCAATTAAAAGGTGGTTTCACGCTCGTCAAATCGTCCAGATAAGAGGCCTTGCTACCCCATGTAGTTTATCAGCATACACAGGACACAAATAATTTTATCATTCAACAGAAAAACGCAATCAAAGATACTTTGACTATTGAGTTAGTCTGTCAATCGGTATTGTGTTCTCTTTGCATTTAAGATTTTCTAACGTTGTGCCGAAACGGCTCTGCAATCTTTACTAATTCTATAAACGTCCTCGAATCAAATATCTATTGCCAAAACTCTCGAAATGCTCTGTCAGGCATTTGACGAACATTTTTCAGATTGATTCGAACGTCCTATCTGATCATATGCCAGAGGACTACTACTTGCAGGACAGCTTAAAATTAACTTATAAGTTCTGTTTAGAACAGAACACAGTGACTCGTTGAACCTAGAAAGAAAGCACAAATACTCTAATCGAAGGCAGAAGTGAATATAATAATAAACTATCAAAATATAAGGATCTTGAAGTGAAAATCTAAAAGATGTGGTACATGGGGACATCAATAAATCCAGTTGTAGTTGAAGCCCTTGGTTTGATTGGAAAAGGTTTCGATATATTCAGTAAAAGGATCTCTTGATGCCCTATCCTTAAAGAATTAGAAAAATATTGTACTCACAAGTACAGATCACACCTTACGAAGGGCTTTATCTATGTAAAATGTAGGTGATCTTAAGTTGTTTTT